TGACGCTCTCCTTTAAGGTAGGCTACAAACCACATGTAATGGAAGAGTTTCCTTCTTTAAAAATGAGTGTGCTGAGGCTTGTGCATTTTAGGCTCTGGCTTGTGGCACAATGACTAAAGCGTATTGTGTGGGTATGCCCCTTGAAGCTCCTCCCACTGTTGGTGCAATTTGGCCATACCCACCATTCAGCATAGCATGCTGCGCAAACTGCTTTATTCATCTCCTCTGGGTGCCCCAGTTCTTTTATAATCCTAGCAACACCCTTCCTGTGTCATGTTTCCAGACTGCTAGATACATTGCAGCGATTATCAATGCTTTGCCAATCTGTAACCAGTCTGGTCTTCCGTTATCTGTTTTGGCTGTGGCTTCTTGACCTATATAGGGCAAGAAGCAACTATGGCTACAGGACCTATGTTGTCTGTGGCTTCCAGACCTACGAAGGACATGAAGCAACTTAGGTTATGTGACCTATGTTGACTGGATTCCTGACCTATGAAGCACACGAGGCAACATAGGCTACATGACTTATGTTGACTGTGGCTTCCTGACCTATGTAGGACGAAAATCAACTATGGCTATGTGACCTATGTTGACTGTGGCTTTTTGACCTATGTTGGACAAGAAGCAACTACATCTGTGTGACCTATGTTGACTGTAGCTTCCTGACCTATGAGGGTAGGAGAAGTAACTACATCTACGTAACCTATGTTGACTGTAGCTTCCTGACCTATGTAGGACAAGAAGCAACTACAGCTATGTGACCTATGTTGACTGTGGGTTCCTGACCTATGTAGGACAAGAAGCAACTACATCTACATCAACTATGGCTATGTGACCTATGTTGACTGTGGCTTCCTGACCTATATAGGGCAAGAAGCAACGACATCTACATCAACTAAGCAACTATGGCTACATGACCTATGTTGACTTGTAGGACAAGCAGCAACTACATCTACGTGACCTATGTTGACTGTGGCTTCTTGACCAATGTAGAGGTTCTTCATAAGAACAATGAGATACAGCACATTTTATAAATAAGGAGGAGCATACAAATTTCATTACACCATTCCTTCATACATAGTACCCCTAATATCACATAGAGAGAACCCCTATATGAACCAGTGTGCTGATATTAATATTCATATCCTGGAGCATGCGCGGCAATCTTCCTGCACTATTCCCGTCGTATGCGTTAGCCTGTTTTTAACAGTTGTGTTTTCCATCAAAATAATTTTCTCCTTTATTGCCAACTGCAAAACAATAGCTTCTGATTAACTAATTTGCAGCCAGCTAGCACGGCGACCAATCTTTTCACGGCAGCGGGTTCTCCGCAGTGCTGGAAGTCTGAACCGGCGTTCCCTTCTGTTCAATTGCTGTCAAGCATTCTCGAGGGCCTGATGCACTTGGGGGGGCGTCAATCCGGATCGCGTCAGAACAACTAATGACAAATTAGGGAGAAAAATAAACACGGATATTGAAGTTTTCCTGCGTGTTTAGCAAACTCGAGTTGTTTTGTTGAAATATTCGCTTTTAAAAATTAAACCTTTCCATCGTTACACTAACAAGTCAACATAACCCGCAGATTCTTAAATGCTCCCAAGGGTACGGAAAGGGGGGAGAGGGTCAGAGGAGCACCGAAATCCATGGAAGGTCTTTTTATGGTAAATAATTGTTTTTATTGTGCACCAGTTATTGCCTGATAGTATATTTCCGCTGCAGGGAAGTTCTCTCGGCTTCTTTCTTTCTTTCTTTCTTTCTTTCTTTCTTTCTTTCTTTCTTTCTTTCTTTCGCACTGCTGCCTCTGTTAGTCTCAGCAGATCTGGAGTAAGATTGGGTGATGTCACTCCTGTGCTGATCATTGTTCTCCTTGCTGGAGAGGAAGCTGTACCTGAGGAGCTGCAGTGCAACAATCTCCCTGCTTTTGCGTCATCCTTTCTTTCTTTTTTGCTTTTTTTCCTTTCTTCTTCCCATCCTCCCTTTTATTCTTCCTTCCTTCCTCCATCTTTTGCTCCCTCCCTTTCTATCCTTCCTTCCTTTCTCTCTTCCTTCCTTCACTCCCTTTCATTTCCTACCGTTCGTTTCCCTTCTTTTCCTTCCTTCCTTCCCTTTCCCCTTCCTCCTTTAATTTCCTCCCTTTAATTTCCTCGTACTGGTGTGTAACCTCATACTGGTGTGTAACCTCGTACTGGTGTATAACCTCGTACTGGTGTGTAACCTCGTACTGGTGTGTAACCTCATACTGGTGTATGTAACCTCGCACTTGTGTGTAACCTCGTAAAGTATTCCCTGATGGCAGTGGCCTCTTTCAGCAGGATAATGCGCCCTGCCACAGTGCAAAAATGGTTCAAGAATGGTTTGAGGAACACAACAATGAGTTTGAGGGCCTCCGAATTCTCCAGATCTCAATCCAATCGATCATCTGTGGAATGTGCTGGAAAAACAAGTCCGATCCATGGAGGCCGATCACCTCACAACTTACAGGACTTCAAGGATCTGCTACTGACGGCTTGGTACCAAATACCACATCATACCTTCAGAGGTCTAATGGAGTCCATGCCTGGATGGGTCAGGAAAAGGGGGAGCTATTCAAATTAGGGGGGTCATCTAGATACCACAGCCTACCTTCAGAGGTCTAGTGGAGTCCATGCCTGGACGGGTCAGGAAAAGGGGGACCTACTCAATATTCGGGGGGGTCATCCAGATACCACAGCATACCTTCAGAGGTCTAGTGGAGCCCATGCCTGGACGGGTCGGGAGAAGGGGGACCTACTCAATATTAGGGGGGTCATCCAGATACCACAGCACATCTTCAGAGGTCTAGTGGAGCCCATGCCTGGACGGGTCAGGAGAAGTGGGACCTACTCAATATTAGGTTGGCGGTCATCCAGATACCACAGCGCACCTTCAGAGGTCTAGTGGAGCCCATGCCTGGACGGGTCAGGAAAAGGGCGACCTACTCATTGAGGCGAGTGGTCATAATGTTATGGCTGATCAGTGTATATTATTTTCATGTCGCTCAAACATACATTTGAATCCTCCACCGATATCACTGTAGCCATAGGTCTGAATGTAAAAGAAAGTCAACGTGGGGCCAGATCAGGTTTTCTTTAACAGGCAGTTAAAAATGAAACCATTGGAGTTTTTAAGCAGCAAAAGTGAAGAAAAAAAACCTTACTTAGCAGATTCCATTTTTTTTCCGTCTTCCGAGAACTATAAAAATAAAAATTCCCCCCTTCATTGCACCAACACGAAATGTTAAATCCAAACAAACACGGGGACATTAAGTGTAATTTAAACGTCTGTTATAATGAACGAGCGCGCTTTTAATTATTTGTTTGTTTAGTTTTCGGTATCGCACGAAGTACGTAGCGCTCTTGTTTTTATTCCATTTGTATCTCGGTAACAAATGAGGGGTACGGCGCAAATTTCTGTCCTTGCTGAAGACCTCCTCGGCTTTAACACATTCGTAGCCGGAGATTCGGAAAATGTCCTCGGCGCTGAATATTTTATCTTTGGTGTTTTATAGGAAAAGCCAAATGGAAATCCTCCAAAAGGAAAACGGACCAAAGGCAAAGTATCCATTTTTCTGCATGAATAACTCAGCCGGTAAACGTCATGCCTAAGTAACAGGACTTTAAAGTGGACCTGTACTCAAGAAATGAAGATATGATATCATATAGGGCAGGGGCGCACACAATTTTTCATCTGGAGATCTACTTTTCAGAGCCTCTGCTTCTCCACATTGAAAAACTCATGAATGAACAGGAAGTGATGTAAATCACATCCTCTTCATTCATAACTGGGGACACATAGTACTATGTGTCCCCAGTACTATGTAGTACTATGTGTCCCCAGTTATTTACAAACACTGGAGTGATCAGCTGATCGCTCCAGTGTTTGTCCTGCACAGAGAATTGGTACATTCTCTCTGCCGCTCGGCCACGCACAGAGGGGGGCTGCAACTTCTCCTCTGGATCCCCCCTGCTCATCCGGGCAGAGGCTGAGGAGAAGTGAAGGAAGCACTTCAGCCAACGGGGGGGTGGAGGGCAGGTGACAGAGCCGCTGTAACAGCAGCATGTGCGGTGAGGGGAGAGAGAGCCGCCGGCTGTCAGATCCAGGCCGAGCGGCTCTCTCTCTCCTCACCGCACGGCGTGCTGCTGTGATAGCGGCTCCGCCACCCGCCGCCCACTGCAGCTTCACCTGATGTGAAGGGGAGCTCTGATGTGAAGGGGGCTCTAATGTAAAGAGGGGGCTTCTGATGTGAAGAGGGGCTTCTGATGTACATAGGAATCCTGATGTGAAAGGAGGGCTCCTGATGTGAAGGGGAGCTCTGATGTGAAGGGGGCTCTAATATAAAGAGGGGGCTTCTGATGTGAAGAGGGGCTTCTGATGTACATAGGAATCCTGATGTGAAAGGAGGGCTCCTGATGTGAAGGGGAGCTCTGATGTGAAGGGGGCTCTAATATAAAGAGGGGGCTTCTGATGTGAAGAGGGGCTTCTGATGTACAGAGGAATCCTGATGTGAAAGGAGGGCTCCTGATGTGAAGGGGAGCTCTGATGTGAAGGGGAGCTCTGATGTGAAGGGGAAACTGATGTAAAGGGGGGCTCTGATATGAAGGTGTGCTTCTGATGTGAAGGGGGCTCTGATGTAAAGAGGGGGCTCTCAATGTAAAGGAGGCTCTGATGTGAAGGGGACCATATGGCTATATTTGATCAATGATGTCAGCGCACGCATCCCACTCCATTATTTACAGGCAGCTGTTGGGAGGGAATTCTCCAGCCAGCAGCTGATTGGGTGGGTGGCTTCGAGTCCCTTTCCGGGTTCAGAGGAGCTCAGATATGGACCGAGTTCAGTTCGGACCCTAATTGTTGAGTGAGCAAGGAGCCCTGCAGGAGCCCCCCATCCTTTGAGTGTCTTTAACTTGCAGTATATACTTTTGTATTGCGGGCTGCACCTGTCACCTTGTCTGAATTTTGGAAACTCTCCTTCTGTATTGCAGCCGCTTTGGTACCAAGTGCGCCCGGTGCGGTAGACAGATCTATGCCAGTGATTGGGTGCGGAGAGCTCGGGGGAACGCCTACCACCTAGCGTGCTTTGCATGTTACTCCTGCAAGAGGCAGCTGTCCACGGGGGAGGAGTTCGGCCTGGTGGAGGAGAAGGTCCTATGCCGAATCCACTATGACACCATGATAGAGAACCTCAAGAGGGCGGCAGAAAACGGTAAGAACTTTGAGAATGTATCTCTGCCGCAGGTCAGTAACACTTACAGGTATTGTCCCGCCTCCACTCTGTGAATGGACAGTGAAAGGAGAAGCAGCAGACTGATGAGCTCATCTCTCTGTCACTCTGCCTACTCCTCCTATCAGTATGCTACCTTCATAGCACATGAGATCTCCCCCTCGCCCCTCTTTCCAATGTTAGGGTGTTACAGGGATAGGAAGTGATAGGCAATCTGTCCAATGGGAACACTTTGTAGTGGAATCGGGAAGCGTTGCTCTCTTTCCTCCTTTACATTCTATCTGGCTCCATTGTACTGGGTCAATACTGGCCATACACTACGCCTATTGAAAAGCAGACAACACATTCATTAAAACTGAACTCCGGCCTTCCCATCAGCCATGCACAGTTGTACCGGCTCCTCTCCTGGACTAAATTTGCTCCTTCCAGGGCTGTGCTGTGTGCCAGAGCTGTGTAAAATCTCAGGACTGGATGGATAATACAACTCCTAAGCAAGTAAAACAGTTTATTCCTTTGGACCTCAGTGTTTCCCTGGAGCTCAGCTTTAGTGATATCCAAGGTTATAATTATGAGCGGATGATCCAGGGATCTCTTCCAAGCTGTGGTTGTTGGTCAGGAAGGATTTTATACCCCCCGAGAGCTATTGCTGCCCATTGAGGTTCTTCTGGCTTCCTTTGGACCAAAACCGCTGTGGGGCGGAACTCCCAAAGTGAAACCTGATGGTCTCTTTAAAACCCAACAAGCTACAGTATGTGATAATGCAATGAAGAAGAAGCGAAGGAGGGAACGTATTCTGATGTATTGTCCATTGATTTTCGGGATCCCTATGTTCGGGGTTGGGAAGCTATTGTTTCCTATAGGGGTTTGTCCTGGATCCTTCGGACCAAAACCGCTCCAGTAGAACTGTTAAGGTCGAACCTGGTGGCCTTTTTGTAAATTCAATAAGCTGATGATGATAAGATGAACGTGCCTGGGTTGGGGACACTTGGACGTTCTCCAAGCCCAGCCAGAAATCAGTGTTTGGCATAAGTCCAATTGAACAAACACAGGGCCGCCTGTGTCCTAGAAACCAGATGGCATGGTGCAACCAGAATAGCATCATTGGTTGATTGGGTGCTAGCAGTTGGTTTACTCATGGCCACTGGTTGGCCATGTGCAACCCAACTACTGCACATGGTCAACCATTTGGTGGCCAACCAGGATTTGGTGACCCCCCATAGCATAATAGCTTCTTATGGATATAGGGATGTAGGACCACATGGTTGTGCTTGATGAAGGGGCCTTTGTGTGACCCTGAAACGTTGCTTTGATGTGATTACTTGCACATGCATCAATGAAGACGTGTTCTTGGTAATCTTAGAGTGCCAGCATCCTACATCCATACATCCTGTCACGGCACCATCCGTTTGTCACCGATGCACCCACTATACCTAAGGGACCAAACGGTCAGGAGTGTGATGGATCCATTGACTTTCATAGGTTCTTACGGTGCGACTCTCTGTGTCCTAGCACCCATTAATGCTGTGCTGCTCAGATATCGGTCAACCAATGATGCGGATGGACACAGACAAAAGTTCAGCCAGATGGCCAAATCGTTTGACCATTCATCGAACTGCAAACAGCTTGGGATCAGGTTGAACTCATGGTTGACCCAAGGAGTGTGATGGATCCATGGACTTTTATGGGTTCTTATGGTGCACCTGTCTGTGTCCTAGCACCCATTGATGCTGTGCTGCTCAGATACCGGTCAATCAATGATGCTGATGGACACAGAGGAAGGTTTAGCAAGATGGCCAAATCGTTCGTCGAACTACAACCAGCTTGGGTTTGGGTTGAACTCGTGGTTGACCCAAGGAGTGTGATGGATCCATGGACTTTCATAGGTTCTTATGGTGCGCCTCTCTGTGTCCTAGCACCCATTGATGCTGTGCTGCTCAGATACCGGTCAACCGATGATGCGGATGGACACAGATGAAACTTCAGCCAGCTGACCAAATCGTTTGACAATTCATCGAACTGCAAACAGCTTGGGTTCAGCTTGAACTCATGGTTGACCCGAGCCCAAAGCTCATCCCTAGTAACTATGCAACAAGTAAAGAAGGAAGCAGATTTGGTTTTATCTGCCATCAGTTTTCTGGATTCCTCTGTTCTATGTTTCGACTGTAAGCGCTGAATTGGGATGCCACCTTTGCATTGTGTTTTTATTATACACTTCCTTCTTTTGTGCCTCATGTATAAATTGTGGGACTAGGCCATTAGTCATGCGACCCAGCTGTGCAAGTGGCAGGATATTTCCAGTAATCAGTAACTCTTTCCTGACACTCAACAAAGAAAAGTCATCGCCGAATGAAGGGTCCTCCGAAGCCACGTCAGAGTAGTCATAACAGTGTTTTTTGTTGTTTTCTTTTTGCTTTTTTTGATTAAAGAGACAGCGCACTGAAAATGGATACAGTAACTTAGCTATGGATGGGAGCTCTTGGCTGAAATGCTTGATGCCTTCCATTATTCCTCAGAGGACTTTGCAGCAAGCGTTTTTTCCCTACAGTCTTTAGATCAGCCTTTCTCAACCAGGGTTCTGTGGATTCCTATGGTTCCTCCTGAGGTCAGTAAGGATTCCTTGAGCGGGGAGCAGTGGCAGTTTTATTTCCTGCCTTCACTGACCATTAATGTAAGGAGGCAGTTTATCACTGACAGCCAATGTAAGGGGTCACTTCTACACTGACCACCCATATACACGGTGACTACACTGTTTACCAATGTAAGGAGCACTTCTATGGTCATCAAAGTAAAGGTGACGTACACAAAAACCACCAAAGAAAAGGGGCATTTCTATGATTGTCAAAGTAAGGTGACCTACACCCACCACCAATGTAAGGGGCACTTCTATGATCACCAAAGAAAGGTGACCTACACCCACCATCAATGTAAGGGGCACTTCCATGATCCCCAAAGTAAAGGTGACCTACACTGACCACCAATGTATGGGGACATTTCTCCTCTGACCACTGACATAGAGGGACACTACATTGTTTACCAGTGTAAGGGAAACGTCTCCAATGATCACCAAAGTAAAGGTGACCTACACCCACCACCAATGAAAGGGGAATTTCTATGATTATCAAAGTACGGTGACCTACACCCACCAGCAATGTAAGGGGCACATCTAAAATAACCACCAAAGTAAGGGCAACCTACACCCACCAGCAATGTAAGGGGCACTTCTATGATCACCAAAGTAAGGTGACCTACACCCAACAGCAATGTAAGGGGCACATCTCCAATGGCCACCAAAGTAAGGTGACCTACACCCCCCACCAATGTAAGGGGCACTTCTATGATCACCAAAGTAAGGTGACCTACACCCACCAGCAATGTAAGGGGCACATCTCCAATGGCCACCAAAGTAAGGTGACCTACACCCACCACCAATGTAAGGGGCACTTCTATGATCACCAAAGTAAGGTGACCTACACCCAACAGCAATGTAAGGGGCACATCTCCAATGGCCACCAAAGTAAGGTGACCTACACCCCCCACCAATGTAAGGGACACTTCTATGATCACCAACGTAAAGGTAACCTACACCCACCACCAATGTAAGGGGCACTTCTCCAAAGAACACCAAAGTACATTTATACATCAATAAATGTACAGATGTTCCTCACTTACCGACTTACCTGTTTTGCGACCACTCGCACTTACGACGGACCGCCGATCGACCTCCGACCTTCCGCGTCAGCGCGACGGGTCGCCGGCGGAAGTGACATCCCCCGATCTTCACTGCAGGTCTCGGTAAGTATTTCCATTGCCGGATGTATAGTACCCTGTTCGGTACTGTACATCGGCAACGCTATACAGTACTGTACTAATGCAGTATAGTACTGTATAGAGTTCCTCACTTAACGACCAATCCGTTTAACGACCTGGTCGTAGGAACGGAACTCGGTCGTTAAGTGAGGAATACCTGTACTGTGTTTAAATGCAAGCACCTTAACTTGACTTGGTATTAGCCTTGCTACAGCAGAAAGACTGGAAGAGGAAGAAGCAGCACAAGCAGCCAATCAGTTGTTCTGCAATGCAAGGTGCATGCTGATAGGATGTAAGTGTGACAGAGAGATGAGCTTATCAGTCTGCCGCTTCTCATTTACTGTCCAATCACAGGCTGGGGGTGGAATAAGACCTGATCTGCAGCATAGGAATATGATTTCTCTGTGTGGCATGGCAGAGCTGAGTAGATCTCATGACCGGTTGGTCAGAAATACCTATGACAAGTGTATATCTTTACTGAGCAAGTAGATGATGCACATCTTAGTTATTGTAACAAGACGAGTGAGCCGTCCCTGCATTTTCAGGCAATGGTATTACATTGGAGGGGGCCGTGCCATCAGAACAGGACAGCCAGCCAAAACCAGCAAAAAGAGCGCGCACTTCGTTCACGGCGGAACAGCTGCAGGTATGAGACCGAGCCATGGTGGATCTTTTATGTGTGGTATGAAGCCCTATAACCTACTAATACATCTCTCTGTCCTCAGGTGATGCAGGCACAGTTTGCTCAGGACAATAATCCTGACGCGCAGACGCTTCAGAAACTTGCAGACATGACAGGACTAAGCAGAAGAGTCATTCAGGTTTGTATTCAAACCAAATATTGATGTTCCCAAAGGGAAACGTAGCAGACACATTGTTAGAGGTGACCCTAAATGGTCTATTTAAAAGGAGAACTATGGGGTCAGGGCTTTTCCCCATAGTTCTCCTCAGGGTCACGGGAGGACATAGACTAGCGTCCTCCCATCACCCAAAGCTCAGTATACCGCAAGCTACAGCTCGCGGTATACTGAGACCGCCGCAGCCGGGACGGATCCCGACATTACTGTCGAGATCCGTTCAGCTGCGTGTGTGACAGCTGGCTCTGCCTATCTAGAGGCAGAGCCAGCTGTACCCGCCCCCTCCCCCGTCCATTCGGCCGGAGCGCGGGGGGGATCTTTGCAGGGACAGGATCGAGAAGTGAGCGAACGCCGGTATGTGTTCGCTCACTTCCCGATCGACTGAGCCGACGTGTGACAGTCTCATTGTCACAAGTCGGCTTGAACTATGAGGACGAGTGAAAATCATTCACCTCATAGTTCTCCTTTAACAAAATTCCACAGGTCATTTGTACATTTGCTCGGTACAAGTTAAGCGACTGAGAGAATGGGGCAAAATCAAATGTTCTTAGTGTGTTTTCTCTCCTGGTCGAATGTTCTTCACTTTGTTCATTCATTAAGAACAAAGTCAGTTGGGAATATATCGCATTATGGCCACTAGATGGAGCTGGGGATCATAGGTAATCAATACATGAGAGTGACGAGAGACACTGTTACAATTCACATGACCATTTGAATGTAACAATTACTACCCCTGTAGTAGCAATGGTTACATTTACATGCTCATTCCCTCCAGTGCAGGGGTGTCCTTACATTTTTTACTGCCTGAGGCTGGGGGGGGGGGGGGGGCA